ATATGCAGTAAATGAAGTGTAGCTCCTGGATCTACTTCTTCCCCTTTGAGTCTTCAATCTTCTACTTCCTCTACAAACTTCACAATGCACAAAAACACTCAAAAATGGCAAGAACTAGGTCAAGATCACTTATGGCGGATTAGGGTTTCGATAATAGGCTTTGGAGGCGATGAAGGTCGGGGTGGAGGCCAGATATGATGCTTAAATAGGGTGCAAACCCTGAAAATTAGGGTTTCCTCCTGATGGACCTACTCGCCGAGTCCAGGCTCGGACTCGTCGAGTAGACCATTTAAATCCCGCGACCAAGCTGGCATCTACTCGACGAGTTAGGGCTACCAACTCGTCGAGTAGCTATTACAAAATGAATACTTTAATAATTTAAATACGTACCAGGAACAGGGGCATTACAAAATAGGTTCATATCCCCATCATTGTAAATTGCTAGATTTATGTGAGAGCTCAAAGTGAGATACTATTGAGGGGGAGTGAGCCAAAAGGAAAGAGGGAGGGTGGTGGGGTGTGGTGGTAAGGTTGACACATTGGTCAACTTGAGCTGCTTGCCCAAGCCACTAACATGTAATCATAAATATTATAAATAATAATTTTATTATATTTAATAATTTTATTAATAGAAATTTGGGGTTGGGTTGTTGATAGTGATAACAAATTATTTAATAAAAAATTGGTTTGGTTTGAGTTGTCCGGTGTGTGTGAAAAAATTGGGTTATATAGGTAGAAATATAATGTAGTTGTTTAAAAGTACGTTGCAATTTCTTGCTTAATGCTTAAAAGTTGGTTTACAATTTCTGTTCAAAATGTACCTTTTGTGGAGCTTTTAAAAGTACATTGCTACATCTGTCCAAAGAAAATACCTAAAATTTCTCCATATCAACAACATAAGGGAAGGTTGATTTTATGCATCAATAAAATCCAACTTCAACTATCTAGCAAATAAATATGACACCTAATTGTTTCTTGTTCATTCCCAACCTCAAACACCAACATAGTTAACTTTGAAAGGTTCAATTGGTGCTACTGGAACATCCAAATGTCCAACTTTAATCACAATCGCACCCTCAAACTCAATACATACAACAATTTATATATGAGTGGTATGATATTCACAAGTCAAAACATCCATTTGGAAGTAATAGGAACAAGCAATGTACTTTTAATGAGCACCTGGACATATATTAAAATATTTTTTTATGTGAACCTGGATATCATTTGGAAGAAAATAATCAAAATATCAACACACTTCTAAACATTAAGCAATAAATAACAACATAGTTTTAAACCAATTTTACACAATTTAAAATAATTTGTTACACTTCTTAGTAGCTTTACGGGAAATAAGTAGCATGTATGCAATAAAAGGTTAGTTAGGGGGTAATGTGCACTACAAGAAAGTTTTGATATAGCTACTGAAAAGTTCCATAGCAAAAAGATGAAATTCCGTAGCTAAACCTAAATAGCTACGGAATTTGCAACACAATTTCTCGGTGGGATTCTTCCATAGGTATATTTCTTGTAGCAAAATGTTTAACTACGCAAGTATAGTTATGTACCAATTTTGCTACGATCATTGCTACGACGTCTATTCCGTAATAATGCATTTTGTAGTAAATTCCATAGCTTACGATTTTGTAGCAAAATCCGTAGTTAAAGGTTCCGTAGAAAATACCTTAGCTATAGCTAAAGGTTCCGTAACAAATTCCATAGCCAAAGGTTCCGTAGCAAATTTCATAGCTATACTTTTTCGTTGCAAATCTGTATCTATGTGTTCCATTGCAAGTTCTGTAGCTAAAGGGTTCCATAGCTATCTGTTTCGTACCAAATTTCATAGCTATATGTTTCGTAGCAAATTCCGTAGCCATGCATTTTGTAACAAAAAAAATTATGTAGCCGCTTTTCATAACAATATCCAAAAAATCTAATTATTCAATTATAATATTTGTACCTATGTATAAAAAATACAATTAATATAAATTCAATAATTACAATAATTTTAATAGAATACATCCAAAATTTAACCTCATATAAAATTAAAAGTAGCTAAACACATCAAGAAATATTACATATTGACTAGTAAAAAAAACATACCCTAAGATGGACATACATGATGTAATAAAATTCAAAAACTTTAGACAAGAGATCTTCTTGGAACTGTATATAATTGTTGAAGGAAGAAATTATTAGTGTATAACCCAAACTATTTTTCATCAAGCACGACACACAAAATATATAAGTTTGATGCACAACTTAATAACCTAACATTTCCAATTAATAAGAAATTCAAGAATTTGTGGATCAAAATCAATCTCACTAATATGTTCTAATAATTGCTAACCATCATATGCAAATTTGAAAATTAAATATCCATTATAGGATCTCTTTTTAGACAATCCATATCATGTTATTTTACAACTTCAATGGAGTTAAGGAAAGTTTTTTTAAGGCTTCAAACCTAAAACATTATAATGCAAAATAAAGAAATTTTGATAACCTTAAGACATCAAATGAATAACATGAAAATACCTTTAGTTTCTAGAAAGCAAGTGCAGTCAACATTGTGCAACCACTTGCAGGTCCAATAATGCTAAGTGTTTCCAGCATCCGCTTTTTCCATTGTCATCATATACAAAAAAAAATGAAATTAAAATAAAAACAATTATCAGCCTCAAAGTAGTACAAAAAACATATATAAAGACATATATACATATACATAAACCATACAAAATTCTATTAATGATAATTTGACATGTCTTCGTGCATAGATTTTCTGCTCCAACTCCTCACACAATCATCTTGGAATGACAAGCTTAATTATAATACTAAATAGAAAATATTAATTGAGTATCCTTGCATCAACATGATCCTTCTCTTTCTCCTAATGAATTAACTCGAGAACCCAACAAAGAGAACCCAACAAAGATTGAATCCTCTAAATTCACTTGCAACAATTTTAGACCTTTAATTTCACTTCAATGCATGAGTTCTATGAATTCATAAGAATCAAGGGTTTACAAGGTATGTCGTGACCCAAAGAAAAATTTTAGACTGTTCAGAAATACATTCCCCAAATTCTTTTTAGTTAACATTTGTTATGTAAAATGTTGTTGCTCTTTTACTTAATGGACTTAATGAGAACATGACTTAAACCCTTAAGTTATATATGAGTGTTTGCTTCCTTTTGACTTAGTAAGAAAGAACAACTTAATAGAAATGAGTATTTTCTCATTAAGTCATAGCTTTTTCCCTTCCATTTTCACAAATAATTTAAATATCATTTATCAAGACACACATACTAGGGAAAAAGTATAGCCTATAATTTTACCCATTGTTACATATCTAACAAGAAGTGAGAACCACCATACCTGCATGTAACCATTTCGTCACCAATGATGTTAAAAGATAAAGCCCAAACTGTGATGGTTGTCTCACTGCTAGTCATTATAGTAAAATTTTAGTAGATTACAATAAAAGCAGAAAGGACATCCATTAGACAACAAAAGGATAAAGGTGATAGTTTTATGGTTTTACCAACTAAGATACATTGTATATAATAAAAAAAAATTAATCAACAAAATAAAGAAGATAGTTTTACGGTTTTACCCAATAAGATACGATCCAACATAGTAAAAACTAGATAGATAAGTATCAATGCATCCTCTTCAGCAGCGTACAAGATCCTCAGTATCGCATCAATAATCTGGAAAAAAAGTGAGTTGCCATAAAACAAACTTGATTTTATTGAGGTGCGTGAAAAATAGACAATACAGACAAGTTTGAGATATTAGAATATTGGCACAGGATTTCAATATCTTAAGCTTTGCAAAGTAGAAATCACTTTCTTTTTCACGACTATCCATTGTTATCTTCAACTCTATGATCTACATAATGAATAGTGATAGAAAGTAATTATGTGAGTCTGTAAGTGTTGGATATTTTGGATTTAATGTTTCTATGAGTGTGACCATGGTACCTGTTGATCATATACAAAGACACTTGGAGCTGAAGAGGGTTTATAGGTCTTGATAGGTGGAGTTGTTGAGTGTGCAGAAGGTGGATCACATCTTTCGGAGGTGTAATGCTTCATTGTGTTGGTGAAGATTTATTGGGATCTTGCTTACATCTTTGCCACCTTTTCAAGACTCTCTTCTTTCATTAGGGCTATAACTATAGCAGGAAACAGAAGCAGGTAATTAACAACATTAACTAGTTATCCGATTTTGATTCATGTGTTACTCGAATTGAAAAGGACTCGTATAATAGTTAATGGTAGGATTAGGAGTCAGTAAGAACTTACTTGTGATGGCTACCCGCTAATAGAATTATAATATCTCCTCATCCAGGGATTGAATTCCAAATTATCTAGCATCCTTCCTTTCACTAACTTGCTCACTACAATGCTATGTAGCATAAATTAGTTACTAATAAGATTCCATATACATAAAAAAAACTAGTACATTCTATTCATAGAATTAAAAATATTTAAATATACACTAAGAATTTCAAGAACAAAGTGTTCAGCATTGTATTGAATTCGAGAATCATAAACACAAGTGGCGGAAGCATAAAGTGGGAGAACCTTTGTAATTTCCAGTTTGTTGAATACAAATCGAAGAACCTTATAGTTGTGAATCATACCATACTATGTCTTAGCTTCAAATCTGACCTTGTGCACCAGGACGTGCCTTCTCGATTAGCTGACAACGAGCTACACCAGAGCACACCTACAAGAATCGGATATGTTCAAATCACTAGATTTTAGTGATTCAAAGCACACATAATTCACGATCTAAACCGAAACTACATCTAGAGTTGATAATACAAATCATGGCTAAAACAATCAGATTTTTATCTATTCTAGAATAGAGAAAAAAGGATGGAACATACCTAGCGATTCACAGAGCAAGCGGCGCAGGGAAAACCAAACAAGAGAAGTGAGAGGATCTCCCCGAACGACAAAGAGGATGTCACATCCCAAGAACTCAGAGTAAAGTCCGGTCGATTATGGCGTAAAGTGGAGACACGTGGGAATAAGCGACTACTTTTAGGGAAACTAAGTGGAATACACCGTGAATTACCTTGTGTTTCCCTCTTTTATAAAAGAAATTGACGTAGCTAATTTTTTATATTTACTAGGGAAAAATGTTTCCATAGCTAGTTGACTATGGAATGTTCCGTAGCCAAGTAGTTACCGATTATTATTCTGTAATTATTTTATAAATTCGAAAACAAGTTGCATAAATAACTACGGTAAACTTTTTTGTAACAAGTTTCATAGCAAATTATCTACAAAATTTTATTGTGTAGCAAATTGCCATTGGAAAATAGTTGCGGAATTTAATTCCGTAGTCAACTAGCTATGGATTTTGATTACGTAGTCAATTTTGTAGGCAAGTAGCTATGAATATGGATTTGGTAATAAGTTTCGTAGTGAACTTGCTACAAACGATGATCTCGTAAAATATTTCGTAGTAAAATAGCTACGGATTTTGTTTCCGTGGCAACTTTCGGTAGCAATTAAGGATTTAGCTACGAAAATGAAATCTGTAGCCATTTCCGTAGCAAAATAACTACATTCAACCATTGTATAGCATATTGTGTAGTATAATTAGCTATGATTTTCATTTCATAGCACTTTCCGTAGCTAATGAGGATTTAACTATGGAACGCAATTTTGTATCGATTTCCATAGCAAAGTAGCTATGATAAGCCATTTTGTCGGTAGTATAATAGCTACGGATTTTGATTCCGTAACAACTTTCCGTAGCTATTTAGGATTTTTCTTGTACCGGTGGTAACTCTCCTAGTTAGGTTATGCTTAAATAGAAGTTTGGGTTGAGTCGGTCATTATCTTCGAATTTATTCAATTAGAGGGACAACCTATGGGAGAGCATTCAGCTTCTTGAAAGCCAAAAACGTCTTTGTTATTTTTATGATTTCCATTCAATCCTTTGATTCAAAGCCTTTTCTATCTGTTCTTAATTCTAGGGTACAAAATATTTTTAGGAGCACATGCACACCATTTGGATATATTTTAAAATAATTTTTACGAGCATCTAGACACCATTTGGAAGAAATAGCAACGTATTTTTTAAACATTAATCCATTAACAATTTTATGTAACTTCTTTGGAAAAACATAGCAACACACTTTTTTAAAAATATATCATATTTTAGAAATGTGTTATCAAAGGATGCAAAAGCACATATAACCAAACATGTGTCATATTTCATCCTCTAATTATTGGTCCTTACTCCTTAGGTTAGGGAAGTATTGTTATTGAGGATTAAGAACTTTATACAATAAGTATGTCAGCCATATACTCATCCTATTTGTGGATGTTTTTTGTTTATGAACATTCATAGTCTGATAAAATAAATTAATATAAAGGATAATATGTTTGCTTATCACCAAAAATACTACCACCATATGTAGTACTCATCAACTCTATGACAAGAGGGAACTGCAGGGTCACAAAAGAAGTAATTGGTAGGCATGTCAGCACAGCTATAGGAATAAGAATCCTTGAGTTGCTTTGGCCAAATACAAGGTATAACGTTGCAGCAAAAGCTACTATCATGGCTGTGGTTGAGATGAACAAGGTGGCCAAACCAATTATCAACTTTGTAGGCAACTTGAAGAGAAAGTCTTGTTCAGCGAAACGTGCAGTGAGAATCGACAAAAACATTAACAATGAGGTAACAGCTGAGAATAATGATATGGCATCTGATATTGCAAATATTGTGAAGGCAGTGTGGTTGGTAAACATTGGTATCCCACCTTCCTGCTTGTTTCCTCCTGACACTGTGATAGCTGCTGCAAACACAATGGTGATGATTAATGCAGCTATAATCGTGTAGGACTCTGCAGTGGACTTCATCCATTTTTGTCCCTCAATCACCAACTCCTTGTGTTCTCTAGTAAATATTGTTTGTGGTGTTTCGTTGAAAGAGTTCTTTTGTATGATGCTTAGAGGACAAATGAATCTTTCCACTTCCTACAAGATTACAATATGTTACATATACTTGATAAATACTTATGGCGTGTAACTATCAGGTATATATGTCAATTTTGAATGATTGAGATTTATACCTTAAACCATTATAGTTCACGTTGTATTTGTAAAGCTTCCCCCGATATAAGATTCAGCTTGTTGTTAGGTGCCAATCTTGCAGCTAGATGCAATAGGTTATTCCCCGAAGAGTCTTTAATTGTTCGACATATATTCATATATTGGCTCATCCAATATAGTAGGTTGTAAACCTTTTCTGAGCGATTTATCACAGCATACTGAATAATGTTGTGACCATCTTCGTTGGCACTCCAAATTGCATTAGGGAAGTGATACATAATTTTTTCTACAAACTCATATGCATTTTGTCTACTGGCTTCAAGAATCGGATTTGTGTAATAGTGATGGTAAGAGCTGAAGTGGTTTTTTTCCCTTATCAACATAGATACCTCCGAAAACAGGCATATAGCATCTTCATAATTTTTATGTCCCTCTTTAAAGAATAGATACACTGCAACATAGACCCAAATTTTGAGCATCTCAAATAAAGAGATAAACCCTTTTTGTTTCTCTCTTTTGTTTTTAATAATACAATTATGGTACTTGTTGATCATCTTACCTAACATCACAGGGATAAGCAGGAAAGGCATAAGGATGCAGGCAGTCACTGCATTACGGATAGAATGATGATCATGGGGTTAATAATAGAATGTGCAACCAACAAGTTAAGAGTTCAAGAAAAGATAAACTCACGACCTACCAAAAAAGATTGGGATGCATATCAACCTCAAAACCGATCTGCCATAAATAATATAATTGCAAGGGGTTGTGAAATACTCATCTACCCACACAAGTATATCAGTCGCTTCAATATAAAAAGTGGTGTTCAGGAAGATTGTCAGGGAAGTTTTATAAATAATTTGACAATGTAGAATCAAGATAAAAAAACAACAAACCTTTAAGCTTGGGAGGGAAATTTTGAGCTATAGCCATCAACACAGCATCAGTATGCAATGTTTTGTAATGCTTTAACAGTTCTCTTGCAAAGCCTACATATTTTCCAAAGTCAATCGCATCAATTATATAAGTGGGTAGGTTTTCTACTAAATGTCGACACTTACTGTGACAACCGTCAAATTTCGCTCAAGTCAAAGTCAAACAAAGTCAACAAGTCAAACCGGTCAACTCC